GGTGGTGGTGGTGGTGGTGGTGGTGGTGGTGGTGGTGGCGAGCTTACCTGGGCGTGGGAACAAAGGGGCATAATCTTTCCGAGAAGGACGATGACAACAGCGAGGATGACTGGTCCCCGAGAGGGTTGATCAAGGACAATACCAACTCCAGACAGGAGGGCTTCCAGTTCCGGCTGAGTAGGCACCGCCGCGTTCTCACCAGTCAGGCAATTGTGCAGTGTCCGACACAGAGAACCCACCAGTGCCACGTGGCTAAATAAATCAAAGTAGCAAGCATACTGATCACGCACAGAACCCGCTGTTATTGATGTTTCCGCCTAAAAAACAACCCGATATAATATTTTTTCAGCTTATCATAGAAGTGCGGTTAACTGCTACGTGTGCTCAGATTTCTGTGCTGATCACATTTAATCCCTCGAGTCACACTTAAAAAGCCGAAGGCCCGAATTACTTTGTGTAACGCCCTGAAAAATACCCGGGCCTTAATTCTAAACCTCATTCTCGAAAGAAAATAAACTAAATAAAAGATATTTATTGCCTAGTGATTCTTACAAAGCTCACAAGCTAGGCAACATGTCAGGCACAACCTCCTTTTCAGATACGCAGCAAAAACAGCTGGTTAGCTGACTATTTGTGCTAAGGCCAACTGTAACGTCCTCCAGTGTTTACAACATAATCAAGCAGTGCACTCTGGCCTTACAACCCTCGGCATATAAAAAAGTAACCTCATTCGTTTATTAGTTCACTGGTCCGTCACGGCGCCGTTGGCGCCAATTCAGGCAATAATTAGACGAGATTAACCTTGCATCGACTAAGTACATCACTAAGCAGTCCATGGCGACGTCAACATGGATCTCTGGCGGCTAGTTGTGGGGACTCGCCGGCTAGACATAATCTGTCTGTCTGTGGTTCTGATGCTGGACTTGCGTGTGAGTTCGAAACTTCCGGCAAGTGCACTTATCTCCAGGTCAATTGAAACTTTTTTTGGCAAGAACGCAACATGCGACCCACTCAGAGAACAAGGGGTAGGTCAGCGTGTAAAACGTCACCGGGGATAAAGGGGGTTTCATGGGTGGGGCTAAATAAAGGAAAGCGCGCTAACCTTACTAGAATCATTGTGTTTGTTACGGTTAGCATTCGTTGTCAGGTTAGTAGGGTCACACATCAGTTGCCCCGACACGTCTGTGATATGCGGGCGCCGGTGGCTTTACGTCACACAGACCACTATGCATAATGTCATTCCTAGCCGACCTGAACCACTTTTTACGGACCGTCAACGGAAGCGACAATGAGGCCGACTCCGTGATATCTTTAATTACTGTACTTAAACAGATGGGCGGTTTTAATAGTCACCGCCTGGAAAGTTGCTAGTTGTCCAAAGGGCAATGAACCACCGAGCAATCCCACTAACTCGGCAACGACTGCTAACTCGTACTGTGGATGGGGTGGGAGTTAGGTTGATGTATAATGCGGTCGCGTATAAAGCGCTGACCTATCCTTTATTCGCGGAGTGGGGTCGTATATTGCGTCCTTGAAGATTGGCTATTGGTGGAAAGGTAGGTGCACAGGCCGGAAGTTTCGAACTCGCACCCAAGTCGAGCATCAGAAAAGCAGACATTAATTCAACCCTCCCGTTCATCCATGCCTAGTCTGTCGAGTCGGTCAGAAGACCAAGATCATGCACGCAAACGCTGGATCGATCCCACGAAGAACTAAGTTGGCACTGATTGAAAAAGGTTCACCGATCGCTGCCGGAACCCACTCATCCCGCTTAGCCTTCGGGTTAACCCTCGAGCCAAGATAGCAGCCGCACAACGTTGGTCTTCTGATCATAAGGTTTCAGGTCCAAGCCTCGGGTGATGCACCACCTGGGATTGCTTATAACTGGCTGATGACGGCTAATAAGCCAGAAATGGCCAGTCCAGCTTCCTTTATCTTTGCCGAACATGTCCATCTACCTAAGTTGGCATTGACCGGAGGGCAGACAACGACGAGGGAGATCGGAGTAGCCATTTTAGCTTAGTAGTCAATTACACCCCAAGTTCGGATAACTTGTGACTCGAACTCTGGTCATTTGATGATTGAGCGTTAAGTTCAGCTATTTACCATTGAGTTACAGGCCCGTTGTTCTCTCGATTTTGGTCGGGAATTAAACAATTGTGGGAGGACATTTTAATGTCAGTCGTTTTATAGCAGCTTCGCAGAAAAATTAGTTTGATTTCGCCCCTATGGAGGACAGTTCATAAGGAGAGTCTCCTACTCACTTTTAGCGCCCGAGAAACAGCACTAGGACGGCTCTCGTACAGTCTACCTCGGCCACCGGTTGGGAGCGACAGAAATTCGACCGTATCTCGGCAGATGGCCGTGCGCAGTAGGAAGAGGGGAGGTACTGGAGAAACCAGAGCCAAAGTTTAGTGCGGAAAGGCTCAAGGTTGGCTTGAACGATCTGGCAATATCCATTTATTGGGTTGACTGTGAGACCTTTTTCGAAGAAAACGGACTAGAAGGGTCAGGCACAGGTGGCTGGCACGAAATGAGCTTGCACATACGCGTGTCACCATGGTGTTTGGTCGACCAAAAACACCTAGCCAGAGTTTTAACGCGATAGGAGCAGGATGGAAGCGACGGCATGGGTCCCAGCTCACACCGCCTGAGTCTCCGTGTCACGCATCCTACCATAAACTACCTGGTGGCAGCCAACATTTGACCAGGCTTTTTTAACAACAAGAGAATGGGGAGCGGAAGTCTAGATCCCAGAACACACACAGTCTGGGCTCCGTGCCACAAACCCTACGATACACCACCTGATCACTACCACCATCACCATCAGCAGTCCACCATCACTCAACTAGTCACTTTCCTGAGGGCATAACACTATGTGCGATGTGGTAATCTGTGAGTGGACGACAGTCTGGCTAGTAACGTGAGCAGCGAAGTTCAGAAGGGTGAGAATGAAAGGCAACAACGAAGACACACCAGGGTTATTGCTCAGCCTCAATTATCAGAGATTCCAGTTTCGAAGGAAACAAAAACAGACAAAAAAGGCGGACTCACTTGTCGTCAGCAATAAGCGGCGCATGTCGGACAAGACAATTGGCAAGATTGAGGACAAAGTTGGGCTTGGAGACGAGACGGCGTCGTAGGCCAATGTCGTGGCAGGCAAAGGAAAGACAGTCTAACAGGAGTGACAGACACATGGCAGGAGCTGCAGTCGTCGAGGTTGATGCGGAGGCAGAGGACGGAACAGCAACAGCCGCCTCTACGACATCCTGCAGACCCTCGAAGCAGTCTGAGGAACGCACCATGCTCTGAAAGCAACAACGGAGTGCAAAACTGAAACTAGTTGGCCTCGTTATCAGGACGTTTATCAACTAGGTGCTGATTCGTCTTGGACAAAACTCACAGTCCAAAACGACCATAGTTTCAAGAGCACCTTCTGGGCAGTGGTCAATGCATGATCCGCGTGTTTTGTTCGCAAAGTGCATGCTACTTACAACTACAACGTAGTACGATTATTTAAGACAAATATGTTATTGTCTTCGAGTCAGGAATTGCATCTCCGCATCCAGTCGAGGCATAGAGCGCCATTAAAAAAAACTGCTAATACACGACTCAGCAGGCAGTGGTTTTTTGATGCAATAGGATATGATATTCATTCCGCACATTACCTGGAGCGACACACCAGTTCTCAGATAGTGCAAGTAGGCCGATTAATAATCTTCAACAATGCAAATGCAACGAGATACGTAGAATTTATTGACGTCATCAAGTTTCGCGACCTCTTATTTAAATGAGTACGGTGAATGATTATTGCATAGCGTACAACATTCTCCGTGTCGTAACGCCATAATGACGTGTAACCTGGGAAATATGACTGAACTTGCGTAAGCATTGATAGCCGACTGGGAAATGTATTACTCACTTATCCGTATGAAGTGAGTTGGTAATCAGTCTTCGGGCCTTATTAAGCAATACCTTACCGTTTGCCGGAAAAGGATACTGTGTGAGCGTGACCGCCTTTTGAGACTACGCAAAGCAAAGGATAATAGGGTCTTATAGCTCCACAAAACTAACTATTTTTCGGATTTATACGTACTCCAGTAGGTCACGGGAATATGGACACACGCCCCGTACTGCCGATGGCCTTGCGATATATTTCGTGGAAGTTGGAGTTAATGTCAGGGTTTAAATTAGAGCATGGGAGTAAGGTTGATACCGTTACCACAGGCCTCCGATGATCACATCGTGCAAAAAGACTATGAACGGTTCTGGAGGATTTCTCCGACTCACGAGTGAGCTTGAATGCGGCGTTTACTTTGATGGTATTCAAGTCAAAGGAACACGCCATCTTACTCAAAAGGAGGAATCATTAGGAGTAAGCATAACCTACTACCAGCATAATCTCGCAGGCTGTCCTGACGAATCGCTCCTGTGGCCAACAGCCAACAATGATTCCTTGTTCAACGCGAGCGGCATCAAGGTCAAGTGTCTGCGCTGGTGACTGTCCCCACTCGATGACTTTAAGCCGCTGGACGAATATTCACTCGCACACGCACAAGTAAGCGCGTCACCCTGCGGCCACGCAACAGGTGATCTCGACACCCCTCAAGTAATCCAACGCACCAATAATGCAACACTTGAACTCCCTTCAGAATCACTTATAAGCAACTGTCACATCTCACACAGATGAGATTTGCAAACACCCTCAGGCGTGACTGGACGCAGTCTACATCAGCCCGGGCTTCACCCGCGGCCACTACCATTCAGGCCAGCAACTGTGGGTTCTGTACACAATTAAACCCTCATTTGGGTGACTTCCACTGGCAGCCGTTGTCGGTGTGTACTTTCTTGGGGATTCAAACAGGACGTAACCAGACGGTGACATCTCAGCTTGTCACTATTACTACATAAGCTAGCCTCAGGAACTTAGTAAGGGTTCATGTTTCCGTGTCCGATCGATGCTCCCAGGAGAGGAATGATGATTCTGCCCATTAGCCCGACTGTCGGCAACGAGAGTCCGTCAATGAGTTTAGGTCATCTACGGTTAGATTACCATGAGTAGGACAACTATGAACAAACAATCAGTACCCTCTAGTGCCGAAGAATCCCCCATTTGAGTTTATAAATATTTTGATCTGCTAGTAGAGGAAAAGACTATTTCTCCTACGTATTGTCGCGGCTTGCGAGTAGCGTAGTAGGTTGACGGCGTTGGCACGAAAAATCAGCTCAGGTTTTTGCATGAGTAAAGGAGAAGGCTGGCCGAGCATCGAAACACTTTGTTTATTATTCTGAGCTCTCGAGCTCGTGCAGGAGTTCATCGTTATTATAAGTGTCAAGTTTGGATCCACGCTTAGACGATGACTCAACTGGTTTTTTGATCGGACTTCAAGGTTCCTGTTTTCTACTTTAAACTACACCTTCGAATTTGTGTTCAGCAACTCTTCCAAGCGTTCTATGCTTTTTTTGTAATCAATAACCAAAATTGACATTGTACCCACAGGTAAGGCATCCTTAGGGATTTTGAGGAGGGTGGCGGTTACAGGAGTAGCATGCAAGGTGAGCAGCTTAAAGATCTATTGCACCTTGGCATGCCGCCCCGGTGCAATTAATTTAGGATTTAAAACGTGCATAAACAGCCGGATTTATTGGTAACAACAAATTCTTCGGCGGCTTCTCAACTACTACCCCTCTGCATGATATAGATGACACATAGGAGTATATAACAACTTACTTTTGCAAAGAAATCAATACATAACAGCAAGGTCATTGTTCAATGCGGAGAAGAATCAAAAATAATTTGGCCTTCAAACATAAATACAGGAAAGAAAAAAGGTGGGGGAGTTAGAAAATTAAAGTGGAGTTAGATCTAGGCCCGAGATTACCAGAGCAATTGGAGATTAACAACGTAGTCCAACTGGGTACATAGGTCGGGGTTCTCCCGCCGTATATAGGTTGCTTCCATGCAGCGCAGGGTCCGATTTGTTCACGCACGAACAAGTACATGAAAATATGTTTTGAAGTCAAAAGAGGTAAAATTATTATTGGTTATTCTCTGCGTTGAGCAACAACCTTACTGCTATGTATTGACGTCTGTGCAAATGTAAGTAGCTTTGTACTTCCATTCGTTATCTATGTCATATAAAGACGAGTAACAGTTGAAAAACCATCAATAAATTTGGTTGCACCAACAAACCCTGCTGTTTACGCTTGTTCTAAATTTGTACCCGGGAAACAAAACTTCAAACGAATTTAGAGATTCTTTAAGTGAAAAATCGTTGAGAACTGAAAACCCCGTTGATTGTTGCTATACAGCCTAGCAAACTTAAAACAAAACAGACAGGAGACTTATCCCATGAAAATGTCACTAAAACCGGCTAATTGGCCACGACAAGACGACATGTGACAATTCAACCGTTCATTTCGACTATGTCCTCTGCGTGCTTCAGCAAGCCGAAGGCAAACTTACGCATGGAGTAGCCCTAAGTGATAGTGGACTTGCGTTGCACCTACGCACCCTCTTCCCTTCCCCACCTAGGCACGGTGTCATGAGCAAACCAAAAAGACCGCAGCAAGAGAAGACGCCAGTGGCTGGCGCGTCTGGATCCGCCCCCTAAACGTGCCGCCACATCTAGCTCGGATCCCAAGGAGTGCGAGTGCGATAGAGGTCACATTTAGAAGAAGCCATTGCATTTCGACCCTCAGTCCGCCGGTCAGCCACTCAACACCAACACACGCTGGGTTGACAGCGCAGTCCCGTCAAGGGTTTTAGCGCAACGCGATAACGTCAAGTGCATCAGATTGTTTATAGTGAGGAAAGTAGGCTGAGCCGTCCAACTCACTCTCTATTTCCATTTCCAGGCCCCTAACCACCATCCGAGCCGATCAGTGGACTAGTGCGGGAAATAGGCACAACTGCTGGTATATATATATATATATATAATCTCCCCGTCTGCGCTTACTACGTACACGACCTGGTCCCCTTAACCCAAAAACCAGAGGTTCACACAAATGGGGATTGAATGGCTCACATCGCACGTGGGTGAGTACTGCATGTAGACATTTAAAAAAACCTGGATATTTTTATTCAAGAGCCATGGGGAGAGAAGAAACACTTACCAGGAAGTGCGGACTGGAGGTGAGATTTTCAAGGACACGGGCAATAGCAGCAACGGTTTGGATGGCAAAGGAGGAGCCAACCGTGCTAACAGGGAGAGGGGGCTTTTTGGGCTTCCGCAGACCGTCAGCAAGGGAACGCTGAACAGAGGTCTTGGGCAGACCGAGGGCATCTGACAGGCAGAGTGCTATGGAGGAGAGCAGACGAGCTGGGCCAGGTGAGGCTAATAGGCCCTCCCGACCACTTGCTTCGGCCGACATCAGGGCCAACAGCTCGCAAGCCGAGTAACGTAGAATGTCCAGCTTGTGCCTGTGACGGATTTCCACTTCTAGGTCACTGAAGTAAGATTTTAGAAAGTTTAATTGGTGAGCGAGGCGGCAATAACAACTGAAGTGTTCGAGGCTTGTTTTAATAAATTTCAGCCAACGCTGATCTGACCACCCCATTTCTGTCAATGGTGTCACACTTACATGTTTCCTCGACCAGGGAAATAGAACATTTTTAGCTGTAGATTCTGAAAACCCCACAGTCCAAAATCAAACGCAAAAAATGCTTAATTAGGCTGATTAGGCAACTAAATTTTTGTTTATTCAAAAACGCTGGGGCAAAGTCAACGGGCGTCGTCGCCAGCTAGCGTCTGTGAGACTCGTCCTCAAATCGGACCCCACGTTTACTCAGATTCTGCCTTCGAATTTCTAAACCCTCGTAAAAAATGAAATAAAATCGGACAATGTCAACAGTGGAGAACTACGGTGACTTCGGTGTGCACAAACAGGTTAATGGGCAGTCAGGAGCTGTCATGTTATTGATAGTTTGGCCGCCGCAAACAACGAGGTTCGCAGTGCGTTCCACAGTGGGGGGGGAGGCGCAGGGATAGTAACTTGTGCGTGACTTAGTTCATAGTGGTATCATACTTGCGTTGTATCTGCCACATCCTCTTTTCCCCATCCACCCACCCGAGTCGAGTGTCAAGAAGGAAGCAGTGGTTTACAAAGCTAAACTGTCCACCTATGCGTTTCACACACGCCTGGTCCACGCACGATGGACAAGTTTTACAAAAAAACTACATCTCCCATCACACTGCGGGGGACTGACAGGTGTCCAACCAGCACAGACTGGAACAAAAAGGCAATTTTACGGAGAAGGCAGATGAGGCCTTTTCGTGACAGCGATGCCCGCCACGCTTTCAGAGCACCACCAAAAACTCTCCGAAGTATCCTAACCTCCTCATTACCTTCCAAAGGCTGTCTGAGTTAAGAGTGTCGGAGGCCTCCGGCGGATCAACAAAGATGGTGTAGAAACTGATCCTCATATGCTGGTACGAAAATGCATGAATCACTCTTCAAGATAGGGTCTCGGGTCAGAAGGTTTTAATAAATGTGGGGAGGGCATCGCAGCCTGAGCTCCAGTCAAGAGGAGGCCCAAACTATCACGTCAGGTGACAACCACCTGCGCCGCAACTACTTGCGCATTGTAATAGTTTAAAATCATGTCTTATTGTTTATAGTTAGGAATCTAAGCGTTGAATCCACAGTGGCCGAGGTCACACTCTCTTCCCACTCCCATAGGACAGCATCCTGTCCGCGGTAAGCCGACGTGAAGCCATCATTAAACACGTGCCAAACCCCAAAAGGTATGTTGAGCTACATGCAAGAGAGAGAGTAGAAAAAAAACTTACCTTGGTGTAACAGAGGCGGAGTTTGTAGAACTGGGCAGCTGTATTGTGGTCGGCGAGAGCTCGAGACACTCAACAAGCACGCGACTGAACAACTCGGGTGTATTCTCTACCAGGAGCCTCTGATTCTCACCACAGTCACGACAAAGGTAGTAAGATACGGTCAGTAGGGCGAGAAGGTGATCCACAAACTGTAGGCACTTCTCTGAGGACACTGGATCGCTGTCGTTGAGATCCGAGTAGAAAGCTTTTATGCTGCCAGTTGATTCCGAGAGCTAGTAAAATTAAAAGAGCTAAAATCTGTAGATTGTCAAGTAAGCAAGCCAACAGAGATGAAAATTAAGCATGCGCGGTACCATACATGGTGTAATATGTTAAGTGCTAGTGATGACCGTGGTGTAGGGGAGTGCGATAGAACAGCTCATCAAATTGATTGCAACTCTGGAGTGTAATTTGGGGTGATAAATGTAACTAAGTTAGTATACTTCTTGCGCCAACATGACATGAAAAGTGCAGGTACTAACCTAGCAAAAACTTCCGATGGACATGGGTGGCCAGTTCTCTCTCTCCAAAAAATAGAAAACCCATAAATGCCTGGCAACAGGGTGTCACTATCCCTTAAGTAAGTTCTGCACCGGTTAACAGGTACGTGCATGCTGGTAGACTTTTCTGATCACGGATGAGGACAGCAACTCCGAATCAGCCCCGATAGATGCTGGGACATGACACCGAGATCAATGCCCGGTAACACGGTGCCTACCTTCTGGCGTAGTCCTAATCCGCGCAGGACGCAGGACTCCGCTGTTGCATGAGGGTTTTTCAGCTACCCGAGGACGCCCGTAGTTCAACCGTCGATTCCGACGATTTCCTCCGCGTGGTGATGCAGGGATGCTGGCATATACGTGGATTAGTCTTAAGTCATAGTAGACCTGCCTTGCATATATCGAACCCTCTTTTTCCTGGAGCCAAATCAGAGTTAAGAAAACCGAAGGCGGGATCGGATGCAGGCGGTTGGAGACGCCACGCCTGACACAGACCCCACGGAGTGGGGTTGCCATAAAAGCCACGGGTGGCTGGGGACTGAGTCTGCCCCTCAGCCTGCCACCAGCGCCCCTACCCTCCATGTTGGGGACCACAGCAGACGCGTCTTCGACCGCGTTCCCACCCGCCCTCACGGCGACCA